ACATTGAAGTTCCCGAACTACTCATTTCCTTATATTGCTGCCAAAATTCAAACCTTTTTCTTTCTTTTCTTCATTTCCTCAGAACTTACAAGTGAAAATTGTTGATGAAATGTTGCAATATTTATACCTATCAGACCACGCTCCAAGCCCCGGATAGCTTATTCCTACCTTCTTTCTTACACCCTGCAAAGCTTCCATCCTATTATGGTGCAATTGGTGTTTTCTCAATGACATTGCTGGAAGATTATCCTATGCTTTAAGGCAAAGTAATGTGACACTATGACTACGACGCATGGAAAGAGCTGAGAATATTCAATGGAACTGGGTTTTATTTGAATTTGATGAATAAAAGTTAAAATGCATAAAACTTGCACCATCAATTGGAAAATATGCAGGTTGATGTGCAAGTACATCGTTGTGAGCAGGTACATACCATTTGATCCTTTATAAGGATAATCTTTATAAGTGGCAACCGGCAATCCCACCATGCTTTGTGATTAATGTAAATGGACTTTCCATGTGTCCCAACCTTTGTCCCTGTTATCACAATCTATCAGTTGACTACATTAAAAATTACGTTATCATAATATATCGCCAGAGAAAAAATATATTAAAAATTTCATTAATTAGCACCTCACGTTAGTATGGTTTAGAGAGGATATAGTATATTTTTTAGGGCCTTTGATTAGGGGTGTTCAAAAAATTCAATCCACGACCACTGTCAAATTGATTTTAAAAATTTAGATTCATATTAAATCGGTTTTTCTATTAACTATATTTGTGTAATCAGTTTACTGTCTAAATTCATTTTTTAAAATTGAATTTTTTTTAGTTATATAAATCTATATGTATGAAGCAACCTTATATCTTTATTTATTAAATTTCAGTGTTATATTAGTTTACAAAATTATATTGTAATTACATTTTATCACTAATATTTTTTATTAATCTTAATTCTTATAATTAAAATTAAATATTTAAAATAATTAAAGATATTAAAATATAAAAAATATTTTTAAATTAATTACTACTGTTATTTTTATATTTATGTTTATTTTTTAATTTTTAAAATATTATAACATTAAAAATTTATTATTATTTATATTATTAATTTTTATTTTTGAAGGTTTTAATTTAAATTTGTACTATAAACTTCGTTTATTAAAAATAAGTTAAAAATAATAATAAATATTTTATATACTTCTATAAAATATAATATATTAATAAATATTGTTAAAATCTTTTTGAAATGCACGAATTTAATGCAACATTTTGTACAATAAATTAGTTTTACCTTAAAAATATAACTCACAAATATATTGAAAATTAATTTTGTGTTAAAAATTAAATTTAAAACTAATTCAACCTAAAACTAAATTTAAAACTAGTTTCAACAAAAACTAAATTTAAAACTGATTTTAAACTAAATTTAAATTTTAAAACTATTTTTGAATCGATTAAAAAAATAAAATAAAATAGTTTAAAATTTAACTCGTATAATTAATTTGTGTGATGGATAGATGATAAAAAGTAGAATATATCTAAATATTTATTACTTTAATAAAATATAAAAAATATTATTAATAAATTAAAATATACGCAAATATTCTTTTGATATGTATTGTTTAGTGTAATGGGTTAGAAAGATCCTTTTATTTATATTTTATTTTTAATAAATGTTGATACTTAACAAATATATATATATATATATATAATATTATATTATTTATTATAAAATTTAAAATAATAATTAAAAAATAGTTATAGTATATTTTTACTATATATAAAAATAGTTTACAACCAGTTTTAAACTAAATCCAAATTTTAAAACAAAATTTAAACTGTTTTTATAAAAATTAAAATGAATTGATTTATAATTCAATCTATATAATTAGATTTTAAATAAATCTAGATTGATTTTTTAAAAATCTAATCTATGAACACCCCTACATTTGACAAGTGAATACTTTCAAGTTTTTCTTAAATTTTAAATTAAGAATGTTAAATTCTCATGTCTAGTATGAATACTTTTAAAAAATAGTCCAACAAATTAATATTCTTATAAATATTTACTTAATTAAGTTTTCTCAGAAAACAAATATATCCTTTAATAATTTTTAATTTAAACTTAGTTTACATTAAATAATATTTAAATCAAACACAATATTAGAATATTTTTAGACAATATTGCATAACATTTTTAAGAATATTTAAGATACAACAGGTATATTCTTAACATTTTCACAAAGTAAAATTCTCAAAAATATGATATTAAGAAAATATAATTTCAAAAATTTAAAAATATTAAGCTCTTACAGTCGTCATATTTTGACTTAGCATGTCATCCATAAAAAAAAGGCATTTAATTGCATATATTTTTTCACATATATACATCATGCTATATATGAAAAAATAAATAAAAATAATTTCAAGTATTCTCTTATCATTCTACACATGTTTAGTTTTTTTTTTTTTTTTTTTTACCAAAAATTACATTATGTTCCTTTGCAAGTTAGCATGATATTTTGCAAGAAAAATAAACAAATAAAAAATAATGAAGAAAGAACAGAATTTTTTTCAGTATTTAATAGGAATTGTTTCTGAAATTAATAAAAACTAACTACTAAAAGAATTTATATGTTAATTTTAGATGATCTTCTTACTCTAATTAATGAAAATTTATTTATTATTTACCAACAAATCAAAGTTTTGTAAAATAAGAGAAAAATAATAATAATCCAATCAAATTCAGAACATATCGATTAGAAATTATTGGATCTTAATATTTTTGTCAGACCAATGGAAATCAAACCGTGAATATTTATAATAAATTCAGCAATTTTTCTTACATATTTTATTATAGTATTACGATTTATCTTGTCTTTAGAAAAAATAGCATCCAAATAAAGGTTGATCATAATAATTATCGCACATCAAAACAATAAGCCATCAATATAAATATCACTTGGATATATATTATAACAGTTATTTCTTATTAACATGACACTTTTGCATCTTAAAAATAAAAACAAAACTCATTATTTTTTTAAGCATCTTAAAAAATTAAAAAAATAGTTTTTTCCTTTTTTCTTTTTTATTGGCACGACATTTTTGCAATAAAAACAAAATGGAAGATAGAAAACAATGAGTATGTCATTGTTTACAACTCTTATTTGCATAATAAATCGTTTCACTTAATTAACGGGACTCCATGATCTTAAAAAATTATAAATCAATTCATCTTTTTAAGCAAGTCACATGATATTTTATATGATAAGAAAAATGAAGGAAAATTAAATAACAATTTATCTTTGCATAACATCGCTATTAAAATAATTTTTTTTTGTCTTTGAGTTTAATATAAAAGTAATTTAATAATTAAAAATAATATAAAATTATTGTAAATAATTATTAATTTACTTTTCTTTCTTGATTCATCTCTAAATATTATATTTTTTTTAGATGAGCTCATGTATTTTTTAAGTATCAGCAAGCAAAAGTTATTATATCACTTGATTATTTTATAAGAAATTAAAATAAAGAGAATTAGGTAAAATTTATTTTCTTTCAAGTCAAAATAATTATCTTTAATAAAAATATATATAGATAAGCAATAGGTGACTTAGAACATTACGCATTTTAATATAAGTGTAGTTAGAGAATAATATCATGTGATGAATACCAATATGTTATCTTATTCAAGTGATACTTAATCAAGTTAAATGATCAATCATGTATCATATTACAAGCAAGTTAAATGAATGAAAGCACTAAATCTATTATCATATAGAGAAGAATAGAGGACTAGCTAAAATTACAAAAAAGATAAAAAGAAATCCTAGAAAGAACTACAAGCTCAAACATTAAAAATTTATGAAAAATAGAAATGGACTTCTTGTGGTAGAGAATTACAATCATTGATCAAATTTAATGTAAAGTACACAATGATAGATAGTGAGACGAAGAACATTAATTCTTATAGGTACATGTTAGACAACATTGCTCATACATATGGATTAAAATAATTATAGTTTAAGCAAATACGTTACTATTATACAAAAGAAATTAGATAGTACTTCACACAAATTTCTTCTATCTATTATTTAAGAAAACTACGAAATCATAGTATTTATTGAAAATTTGAACCCAATACAGACACAATCAAACTAGCATTGAGCAAGCACCAAGTCAGTTTTAAAGAAGAAACTGGATTCTCATGGCTTCCTATAAAATAGAAAGATGTTACTTCCAATATGATGGTCAAGATAATGCCATAACCAACTTCAATAGACTCACTCGCACAGCAAATTCAACAAAGTTCCTTCATCAGCCCAAGTATAGACTTGCTTAATCTCTAGTCAACTGGATCATTAGACTATTTCCTACAACTTACTTCAACAAAAGCAATAAGTAAAAAAAAAAAAAAATTGTTAGCGTGCATTATTTTAGCAAATATATTTGAAATTGTACAATGAAAAGCATGATAATTAAATATGTAAACAAAATATCAATAGATGAAATAACAAAATTTATTATCTTATGCCATAAATAATTGAAATTCTAATATAAATTTTATAATTAGTTTTTAATTTGTAAAAAGTTCTCTTTAATTTAATCTTATTAATATAATATAATATTTATTATTAATAATTACATTATTTTTATAAAATTATTTAATATTTTAACTTTCATTTTAAAAAATATATTTTTATAAAATTAATATTATTAAGATAATTTGAATTTATGTTTGAAACAAAGGAACACTAACTCAAAAACTAGTTAAAAGTATTTTATTTGCGAAGCCAATACAATACCCGACGTTTAACAGAGACTCCGATATTGTTGAATAATTGAAAATTAATATGATTAGGATAATTTGTATACTCAAAAGCTGGTTAAAAGTATTTTACTAGCAAAGCAAATACAATACATGACGTTTATACTAAATAGATACGCATCAGAATCAGATCAGTACCTTTATCATCACTAATCACGGAGGATTATTCGTGGGATGTGTGCGATTTGGCGACTAACAGCACTTGTCTCTGTTCGGCACTCTTTAGTAAGAGGGAACACTCGTAGACCTCTAAGATCTTTAAATTGGTAAGACCACTTATTCCCTCGGGCAGCGATGCCAATTTTGGGCAATAGAAGATCACGATGTGCTGAAGCGATGAGAGGTTGCAAATCCAATCTGGCAAAGCCTTTAGCCTTTCACATCCATGTATGCTGATTTTTTGCAGAGAAGGAAGGCAGTTGGTGTCGTCCTTAAACCCAATTTCAAATTCCTCAAGTGTTTCAATTTCAAAGGATTCTATTTGAAGAGACTCGAGAGAAGTCAGATTTTGCATCATACCCTTTGGTAAATTCATAGGTTCAAAAATCGTCAATTGTTTGAGCATGCAAAGAGGAGCAGCAGAGGAAGATGAGTCAGCTGAACATGTTGAGTTTAGTGTTGCTATTAATGGCTCCGCACTGCTGTAAAACCATTCTAGACTCTTAACATTTGGAAAAGTAGGCATGCAAGTCAACTGTGGACAGAAATAGAGATTCAGATGAGAAAGATGAGGAAATGAAAGAGTTGAAGAGAGATTATGAGAATCATTGAGATCATCTCCCCGCCAACACCATCCTCTGAGCCTGGGACAGAGAAAATGCGAGGCTCTCCAAAGAGGGGAAGAAGGTTACTGCAGAATCATCTTCATAGAGATATATGTATTCCAATTCCAGAAGACACCCTATCTTAAGTGACTTTAGCTAAGGGAGACGTTCCAACGGTGGGAGACAGCGACATTTACAAAGATCATGCAGAGAGATCTCAACAACATTTGTGAGGAGAGTAAGCCAATTTGGGAAAAGCACGCCTGGATAATTATTCACCTCCAAATGCTTGAGATTATGGTGGGGTTGAAGGTTTTCCAATAATTGCAAGCTGTCACTGTTACGGATGTCTCCATGCGACCAATCCAGAGCTAAGGATTGAAGGAATTTTTTTTCTTTTAAATTTACGTCCTGAGATTCCAGAGCCACTTCTCCGACACGACTGAGATGCTTAATTTCTAATTTGCCTCTTATTAGGTTCAAATCCTTCAGTTCATTTAGTGTGCCATATTTTATTTCTTGGTTGTCTCCCACAACAAAGGTCCATAAGAATTGCAATGAGGATAATTTTCCCAATGCACCTACCACCCCACTCATCATGGAGTGATAATGAGCGACATCAAGGCACCTCAATTTTGTGAGTACTTCTGAAAATAATCCTTCGTCGTCGCACTTCAATTTTAATGTTTGTAGGAAAACAAGATTGCTCATGGATTTGGGAAGACTTGTTTGTTGCGTTAAAGCAAGGTATCTTGAATGCTTCCAATGTTCAGTGGAATCAGAGAGATAATGCATTCTCAAGACGCGTAAGCATTTCGACTTTAAAACCGACAAATATTTCTCCTTATTTAAGAAATACGGCAAAATCAAAGGAAAAATCAAAGTTCGCAGCCTGCTCGGATCTAATGATTTCAGCAAATGAATGGCATCGTATTCCAATGATACATGCATGGGTCTACCTTCAACTTTTTCTGCCTTACCATCCAAGTAACAATAATCATTGCCAGCTACTAGCATTGCAAGATCATGCATTAAATCATGCATCTTAAAACTAATGATCTCACCGTATACATCACTTGTTGCATCTTGGAAAAATGAGTTCATCAAAAACATCTTTACAAATTGAATACCAACATCCTCCATGTGCTGTTTTTCGGTTGAACATGTAAGGTAACCCTGTGCCATCCATAACTGAATCAACTGATCCTTCGCAATTTCTGAATCCTTGGGGTACAAAGCGCAATTAGCAAAACATTGTCTCATTTCTGGCGACAAGTTGTGGTAACTGAGTTTTAGAATTGGCATAATACTATCTTGCTCTTCACATAATTTCCAAAAGTCACCGGGTAAAACATTCTCCCATTCACTTTCTTCGTTTTGTCCTCGTAACAGACCTCCCAGGGTTTTAACTGCCAGTGGAACCCCTTTACATTTTTTGGCTATTTCTTTCCCCACTGATTCTAGATTTTGATTCACTCCTTTGGAATCATCATCAAATGCAATGTTCTTCAACAAACTCCAAGATGCTTCATCAGTCAAACCTTTCAAAGGATAGGAAGTGCTAGCAATCATTGCCTTTGCTACATTTTCACTTCGAGTTGTCACTAAGATCTTACTATCTTGAGCGCCACACATCAGGTACTTTCTCAATTCAGCCCATTTGTCATGTCTCTCATTCCAAATGTCATCCAGTACCAACAAATATTTCTTACCACTTAATCTGTTACGAAGCTCTTTTTGCAACTTCTCTAATGATTGTTCTTGTCTTTGGAAATCAGTAATTGATTCTAATATTTTCTTCAGAACAGTTTTAACGTCAAAGTTATCAGAGACACACACCCATATCTGCATATCAAAAAAAGTCTGCACTTCCCAGTCACTATACACCACTTGTGCAAGAGCTGTCTTCCCCAAACCACCAAGGCCAACAATGGCAATAACGGAAACTTTTTGGTTTTCATGAGGTTGTCTCAACAGACTAATAATCTCCTTTTTACTATCATCTCTTCCAATGAATGATTAAGAAACACTACGGAAGGGTGTTTGATAGAGAGCTGCAAATCTAAAAACAGTGCTATATGGACCCAGGAATTAGGAAAGGTACACCGAAAAACTGAAATGATTGATACAAAATAGGCCAATTGACCGATCTTAATCTTCGCGTTTTTCAACTTTCAACGTCCAAAAGCAGTGCTATATGGACCCAGGAATTAGAAAAGGTGCACAAAAGCCAAAAAAATGAAATGATTGATACAAAGTAGGCCAATTGACCAATCTTCATCATCGCGTTTTTCAACTTTCACAGATATTCCAAGAGTAATATAACTATAAATCATACTCTCTTTGTTTTATTTGTCTTTTGGACCCACAACATCTATCTTTACAGATATAGATTTATTTTTTTTAAATTTAAAATTAAATTTTTTTTCTCAAAGCTTCTCTCAGTTGATTCGCATAAACTTATAAGTTGATTCCAAACATCCTTTAAAGTCTTAAACTTTAAAATATGCATATTTTCAAAATTTATATATATATATATATATATATATATATAAAACTAAATTTAGAAATTAAATTCTTTTAAATTAATAAAATAATCATTTAATTATTTTAAAAAATTTATCATCTTGTAAAAAATATAATAAATAACTTAATTATAGCTAGTTACAAAAATATTATTATTATTATTGAAAACATTATATAAATTTAATAATCAACCGTTAATTATTGCTCAAATTATCACAAGAAATTATCTAAAGTTATAAAAATAATATTTAATAAAAAATGATAATATTTTATTATTAAAAAAATCTTAATTCATCTGTCAACTCTTTTAATAAATAATAATTTTACATATACATACAAACATATACATATAACTAAGTATATATGCGTGTGAAGCATTAAATTATAATCCTTTATTTTTATTCTTTTTATAAATAATACTGCTTGTTTAAAATAAGTAAAATTTTAGTGTTTATGATTATAGCTATAAGTTTTTTTCACTTAATTTTTATTTTATTTTATGTTTCCTAATTTATTATTTTAAATATAAATATAAGTATTTCACATAATTTTATATATTTTTGTTGTAATTCACATTAGATAAAAGGTGACTATTTTTTAAACTCTAAATAGAATAAATTATTTTAAAATCACTTTTTACTCATATCCAAACATAAAACTTTTTACTTATAAATATAATAAATTGTTAAATAATCTATATTTTTAGCCAACAAAGTATACACTAATTCTATTACATGAGCCCAATATAGTTGTCTACATTAGCCATGCCGATATTACGATAACAACTTATTTTTTATTTGAATTTTTTCACATACATTTTTATATTATAATTTCTTTATATTATTTTAAATTTAAATAAATATCAAGTTAGTTAAAGTATAAATAATATATTTTAATTATATAGAGTAAAAAATATTAAAAAAAACATTAATGTTTTAAAAAGATAATATTGAAATAAAACATAATATCTAAATAATTGAAGGGATTACTTTATAAAATTTTCAAAATTTTTAAATATAATAATAAAAAGTAATTAAAATTACACCAAAAATAAATTATCTTTTAATCGAGATTAAAGTAAAAATTATATAAATCAAGATCATATAATAAAGTAAAAATTTATAATAATAATAATTTAACTTTGATGGTGTTTTTGTACTTGAAGTTACTTCATTATAACCCTCAATTCTACACTATCAACATTTTTTAATCATAACTTTATTTCTTTTATTACTATGACAATAAAGAAAGTATAAAAATTAAAAATCGACTGCTTTACTAAAATATTTATTTATTTTACACTTATAAAAACTTAAAATCAAACAATTTTTAATTGTTATTCCATTAAAACAAAAATTTATTTATTTTTCAGATGTTATGAATTAAAAATTTCCAATGAAATAAGAATAAAATAATATTTAATTATTTTAGTAATTAAATTTTAAATATTAAAAAAATGTTTTCATGAATGTTTAAGGTATTTATGTACATCTTTAGGTGTTCAAGAGTGCTTTGAAAGAATATTGCCTAAGTATATTATAAAAAAGCCACCTATACCTTTAAACTCACATGAGTAGATATATCAGGTGCATATGTTAAAAGGTTATTTCTCAACCTCACATCAAGCACTATCATATGCAATCCAATAGTCAATTTTTTTCCCAAGTTTTAATTTAAATGTCAGTGCATACATAGTACATAACTGTTGAAAAATATAAAACAAACATTTACATTGTGCTTTAAACCATTGTGTTGAAAACAAAATTTTGGCAAAACCTTTAGTGTTTTTAGAATTGTGAAGACTGCGATAAAATGTTTGTTTGTGGGCAAGTGTATATGTCAACAAATGATAAAAAGTTCTAAAATAAGTTCCAGAAATATAGTCTTACAACTATTGTTTCCAATTACCAAGAATCACTTAATTTAATTATTTAAACTTAAAGGATGTGAAATTAAATAAAAAAGGATTTAAATATAAAATTAATTAAAGAGAAATTAAAATAGTACAGCCTCTGACAATAAACTAATTGAGAAGAACTTAAGACGTCAGGTTTTACTTTTACATTTCTCTATATTCACTTTTAAATTAATTCTAATTATGGTTTCCTTATGATTATCATTTACTCACACTAAATCTATTAACACTTAATGATTATGCAATGTTAACCGTCTTTTCTCTAAACTATCACTCCCAATGATCATGCAAGGTAAAAGGAAGAGAAAATATAAAGAGCCTATGAGATATTAATTTAATAATAATTGAAAGACAAGAACTAAGCTTGGTCTACCTATGTTTTGTTTTATCTTATAAATACATTAACTATATGTGGTACAATTACTTACAATATAATTAATTATAGTATGTTCAAGAGTTGTCAATTTTGTAACACCCTAATTTTTATTTGCATTTTTCTTGTTTACAAAATGGAAGAGTTTCAAAAAATAAAATAAAAATAAAAATATTCCTTTTAACTCAAGGGAAAATATTTTATTCAAGTGAGAATGGATCAGAATTTCTCATTTGTACTCTCGCTCAAGCGAGAAATTCTTCGCTTGAGTAAATATTTGCGATAGAAATGGGTAACTCTCTACTGTATTTACGCTCAAGTAAAAATACCTTTACTCGAGCGAAAAATGTTAGCAGAAAAGTAAGTATTTTTGTTTAGTTTTCTCGCTCAAGCGAGAATTCATGAGAAAAAGGAATATTTAAGTGATTTTGGACTTCTAAAACCCCATATCTCTAAGTAGGAAACCTTTCTCCTCTCTTTCTCTATTCTCTCACTTCCTTTTTTTAGAGAAAACTTGCTTGATCCTTGAATCTCTTCCGAATCTGAGCTCCAACGTTCTTCCTTCTTGATCCCAAGTAAGTTTCTTGGAGCTCAATCTTTCAATCTCACTTATATTTCTCTGCTTTTTCTTTTTTGAAAAGTACTCTTCTTTGTAATATATAGGAAGAACTTAGTCTTTGGATGATACCTCCATTAAAACATTATGTTTTCCTTTAGATCTTGCAAATAACATAGTCTCAAAGACCCATTTCTAGGTAAATAGAGTTAATCCCAAGTCCTAACTCCTATTTATATGTTTTGACTTAAAATTTAGATTCTCTTGCTTAGGATGACAGATCCCTAATATTTTCTTAACAATTATAGTGTAAAAATAGATTTTTGAGTATGGAAAACCTATGATATGGTTTAAGAATAAGTTTTTAAGAAGATTTTCATAAAGGTGTTATTCATATATATGTTGGAAAAAAGAGATAAACCTTAGGATAGATGATTTTTATAAAGAAATGTATTTCTAAACTGTATGATTGAGTTGAGTCCAAAGATGTCTGATCTTTAGCACATTGTATTGATTTGTATGATGTGAAATTGATTGATGAAGAATGTTTGACTGCTTTTGAATGATGAATGTGAATTGGACTAAGTCTGGATATGTATGATCTTAGACACATTTTGTTTAACTAAATATTGAGAAAGATATGATGAATGAAATGTATTATTAGTGAAAAGTAATGAAAAGAATTAGTGTGAAATTGATTACATGTGAATTATGAAAGAGAATTGATGTAAATGATTGATGATTTAACTGTACTAGAATGACATAGTATGGTGAATTCGTATTATGATAAGAAAGTAAAAGAGTGAAAATTGTAGTATTATGAGAAACATGATGGAAAGAAATGGATGTGAATATTTGAGAAGTGTTGAGGAAATAGGTGTCATGAAAAATTGACTAAAATGTGTATGGGTAGTTATAGATCGAGATACATTAGGAGTATAGAATATGGAAGCAATTTGAGAAATCTGGGAGAAACGTAAGGTGATGAATAACATTCGCTTGCATATACACAATCTATTGATTGTGAATGCATCACATGATCTTATACTCTTTTCTTAACTAAACTTATGACTATACTTTTGTTGAGGGATTCTTTTATTGTATATGTTGTATCCGTGTGTATGGGTTAACCGGCGACTATCTATACTAATGAAAGACCTCAAGGGATCCCAAGGACAATGATTGTGAATCATGAGATGTGTGATTATAATAGATGAGTACAAGTATTGTAATTCATCGACGGGTGTGATTATAACGCATGTATTGTAATGCATTAATGAACATGGTTATAACACACTTATTATGACATGCAGATCTATGAAAGGAATAAAGTGGCATGGGTTCAAAGATGGAATGATTGAATTTGGTTGTGTGAAATGTTGTGTACTGCTGTAAGAATATATGAAATGACATAATCTTATTGTGATTGTAATGATGTTTGATCTACTATAGATTCATTAATATAATACATGAGCTACACTATTTTGACATATTCATTATTAAATAATGTTTTATGTATTACTCGATTCATTTATAAAATAAAAGATTTAGTGAGACGGAGGATACTCACCTTTACGAATTGTATTTCTCTTGGGGACAGATAACACAGAGGATTTTAGTAGAGGTGCTGATGGTATTCTCAGATGCTAAGGTCAAGTTTGTGTCCCTAGAGATGTTGAATTAAAGAGAGCAATTCTAGAAGAAGGACATAAGGGTAGTCTCAACATTCATCCTGATGTTACCAAGATGTAGCAAAATTTAAAGCAAATATTTTGGTGGTCAGGCATAAAATGAGAGATAATTGAGTTTGTTAAAGCTTATTTGACTTGCTAGAAGGTAAAGGTATAACACCGGAGTCCTCTAGGAGAGTTGCAGAAGATAAAAATTTTGGAGTTGAAGTGGGACCATGTAACTATGGATTTTGTGTCTCATCTACCTAGAATAGTTAAGAATCATGATGCCATGTGGGTCATTGTTGATAGGCTGACCAAGAGTGCGCATTTCTTGTCAATCAACATGACGTATAGCTTGGAGAAATTAGTAGAATTGTACATTAAAGAGATTGTCAGGTTGCATGGAGTACCTTCTAGTATTATCTCTAATAGAGGTCATCGATTCACTTTTTAGTTTTGGCAAAGTTTCCAGGAAGTTATGGGTATGCAGTTGAGGTTGAGTTCTGCATATCATCTATAGACAGATGGTCAATCTAAGCATACTATTCAGATCTTAGAAGATTTATTGCGAACTTGTATTGTGGAGCAAAGGGGTAATTGGGAGGATATGCTTCCTTTGGTAGAATTCACTTATAATAATAGCTACCATTCGAGTATAGACTTGACACCATTTGAGGCTTTGTATGGCAGAAGGTGTATAACCCCTATCTGTTGGTTTCAAGATGGAGTACATTTGATGGTTGGACCTGAAATGCTGCAGAGAAAATTGAACTTATTAGAGAAAAGCTGAGAGCTACTCAGAGTCGACAAAAGTCTTATGCTTATCGACATAGAAGACTCTTAGAATTTGTGGTTGGTGATCATGTATTCTTGAGAGTGTCACACACTACAGGTGTGGGGCGAGCCTTAAGGGCCAAGAAGTTAACGCCTAAGTTCATAGAACCGTATCAGATATTACATCGCAGAAGACCATTAGCCTATGAATTAGCGTTACCACCTCAGTTGTGAGGATTGCATAATGTTTTCCATATGTCGCCGCTGAGGAAGTATGTTCCTGATCTGTCTCATGTAATCGAGCCTGATGTTTGGAGATACGAGATGATTTGTCTGTGGAGGTCCTAGCTGATCGTATTGAGGACACTAGAGTTAAGGAGCTTAGAGGCAAGTTTATTCAGTTAGTAAAGGTTGTTTGGGACCTAGTCACTGGTGATGCCACATAGGAGTTAGAGGAAAGAATAAGAAAGTTTTA